TTACTATTCAAAATGGGCAGTCAGTCATAATCAAACTAGAGTTTACTGAGGGCATATAACTGAAATGCCCATAAATCTTTTAGAGAAAAAATGAGATAATTATTGTTCCCGCATAATAAAACCATCTAGAATTGTGTTCAAACCAAATTTTAATTCACTTTATGTCATGATAAAAATCACAAAAATGACATCAAACAACTATTCTAATCATATAGAAACAGAGAAGAAAAATTTACAGATATCACGGACCAAACCTTGAATAACATTGTTATCTTGATCAATTTTTTCCAAGGCAGGAATACAAAATGCAGCTGTCTTCCCAGTCCCGTTTTTAGCCCTTGCAAGAATATCACTACCAGTTAAAGCAATTGGAATACTTTCTTCCTGAATTGGGGATGGCCTCTCAAAACCCTTTTCGTATATTCCCATAAGAAGTTCGCGTTTCAGAAAATAATCCTCAAATTCATTCCCTTTGGTGGCTGTCACATCCTGCAGAAAATATTACAAAATGAAGATTAAGAAAATCTAGAACATCATCATGGCTACTTAAGGATGCGTTCAACAAGTGCATTGCATGTTCTTCAAGAAATTTCCCAAGTGATAATAAAAAAATGTCTAGGTGTTAGAAAATAGAAATTTTAATTTTAGAATACAGCAGTTTTCCACAGGTACAGAGAGTTATGGGACCTTCAAACAGCATCCTGTCCACCTCATGTTTAGCAACATGAGATACAACAACAGTCAGCTGAGTCAGATTTCAGTACCAAGTGCTTGGACAATAAGGTAGAGAGCTGCGGGTTAGTGAATGAAATGATTGATAAGACAATCACTGGAGGAAGTTCATCAGAGTCTTTACTCAAAGAACCAAAAGCTAAATGATCATCAAGGGAGGCTGAAGGCAGAATTGCAAAAATGCTACGACTTTTAAACGAGCAAGCTCAGTGACAGGGAAAAGAAATAGAATACATTAGGGGTTGGAAGACGAATCAATAGCAACATAATCGCAATATGTTAGGGCTCAGTCTGAGGGCAACAGGGTTAAATATCAGAAGTTTACTAAGAGTGGAGGAAAATGCAAAAATAGTTACAAACCTCAAACGAGTCACGTACCGACAGCTTGGGTGTCATGTCAAGAAAATGGACCTTGGCTTAGTCAGGAAGAGCTAATGGTCATCAAAAGAAGATGGATATGAGGTCAACCAGAGGCCTATAACCATGGGAGGCCAAAGGTGAAAATACAACATATAAGTTAAACTTTTACCTAATGTGTAGGGGCATTCTGTAGTCATCAAGAATATCTCTGGGAGCAATTTGTATTGGGTGAATAAGGATAAGAATATGAAAGTCTCCCTGCTCCATTCCCGACTAACCATACCAGCCTACACCCTTTAAAGGAAACAACAATCTAAAGAATGGAAAATAAATGCAAATGCAATGGCGAAGTTTATTCAATATTAAAAGAGGGGTTCAAGAGAAACATAAAGATGAATATCTTCTTGAGAAAAAAAAATAGAGACATATTAATCACCCACAACCATACCTCTGTTTTATAGCGAGTATCAGGTGGTGGTATCTTTAGCCTAGCCTTCCAATCCTGTGCACTGAAGATAGACAGACATTTAATACATGAACAAGTTTATAGTAACAAATTACTAAAACAAATTCCCCTGAAAAAGATCAAAAGATCTATTCTTTTCCAAATCACAAATTAATTGTTTTATGAAAAGTAGCAGTAAAAGTATGAGAAAACAAATGGCAAACAACCTCGTACTATATTTTTTTATATATCACAATCAAATCGCTATGCAGAGTAGCAATTAGAAGTATGAACAAAAACATAGAAACTAAGCTTTGTATCTTGGTTGGAGAATATTCTATGAATTAGAAGAATTTTTTTTTTTTTTTTGAGATAAGAACTAGAAGAATTTATATAGATGCAAGCTGTCATTATTTATCTGAAGAAATAAAGTACTCATATTAGGACAAGCTATTACGTTTTATCAAGTTTAATTCTCGAGTTCCCAGGTTTTAAAAGAAGATATTAGATGGGTGAATTACAGCATCAAGTTCACTCGTGCCATGGGTTTTAAAGCATCAAATCTGAAAAGACACTGGGAGGACTAATAAGCCTCACTGAACTAAGAGAGAACCCCAACTGTATTGCAATCAACTCCTAAACCTACTCCAAGCCCCAAAAAACCAAATTGCACGTGTGTGTGCATGTTCGTCTCTTGCAAACTCATGAGACACCCTTGTATAAAGATATGCTACCAGTGGGCATTTTTTGCTTGCACCAGGGCATCCTTTACAGGCCAGACCGAGCTTAACACCTGGAACTTTCCTGATGTATAATGGAGTAACTCTAGATTGCCTAAATAGATCAGAGATCGTAATTCTATTAGCTATAAAACTATTATACTACCTAGGAGTCTATTATTATAATTCTAGAAACTTCAGGATTTTAAACATATTAGTATTTAGTTTTCCTATTTGTATTACACTTATTATTTTCCAACACTATTAATACTGTTATTTCTTGGTTTAACCATATTTAATAGAGATTACTAAGGAAACATTATAAAGATATTTTGAATCTCACTTTCTGATACGTATTCAGTTATTCAAAAATGCTCTGAGATCTTCTCAAATTTCTAGTTGTGTGATGCAATCAAATTATTAAATATGATATTTAAGACTTTTTAAATGTGATGTCCAAGAAACCCAATGAATGATATTTAAATTTTTATCCTCAAATTCCTAACTAGGAAATTAACCCTATTCTGTCCTACGTCAGATGGAATGTAAGCTTAAAAAAATACTAAATTCAAAATCTCAAAACCCTATATCTAAACAACCCCGAACCATATGGAAGAAAAACACATAGAAAATTGCAAAAAGAAAGACAACCAAAAATCTACAAACCATGACCTAGTCTACTTGTCACCGTTCTAGATCACAGTCACCAGTGGGAGTTTATCAACATAGCCGCCAACACCAGTTTTAGAACACTTTAACAGGCAAACCAGAAGCCTTGCTGCAAAACTCTATCAAAAAATGATAAGTCATTCAACAAAAGCCTGCGGTCATCTAGTGACAAAAAGATGGTGCATGAGCTACACACATGCCCAGCCATGAGTAACGCTTGCTTGATCTGAAGTATTCTAGTCGAACACTCATTCAAAGAAACCCACAGCTCAGTTTCTTAGCAGCACAATTGGAGACAATGCAAAACACCATCATATACAATTTAGGAAGAACAGGATACCTACGAATTGCACAAGTAACGCTACCAATCCAAAATTCAAAAGTTGCCCAAGCCACTGACAGAAGACAATTGAAGGTAATGCTAAAAATATTACCAAGAAGGAAAATATCATAGCTTCTGAGTTTAATGGACAAAGAGATCCCGACTTCTTCCTCGAGTAGCTTAACTATATGAAAAAATACTTTAATTTGTATGACATACCATATGAATGAAGGGTCAGATTTGCAAAAATAAATTTGGTTGGACGCACAAAGTTATGATGATACAACATTATTGAGAATATAACAAAGAGACAAATAGCAATCTAAAATGGGATTTACCTCCAAACTACTTTGACAAACTTCAGTCTTACCATTTTAATTCAAGGCAACGTGTTAATTAAGAGCTGCTATTTGAATAATTAAAGATTCGGAGTCAGTTAATGGAAGAAGATAGTCAATATGCATCCCAAATCAAGGGAGGATTAACAACTGATATGAAAAAAGAGTTAACTCAACACCTCCTGTAACCATAGCACAAACTTACAATGCTGCCATTGACATGGAAGAATATTAGAAAATCCACTTCCAAAAACATTTGAGTTTCAGGTCAGGGAATCCACTCCTAAATATACCTTTGGATCAGAAGGTGTGTTCAAGAATGGTCAATGTCAATTTCAAGACTCCTTCTAAAGCTACGGAAATTGTCTGTTTTAGTTGTACACGTAGACATGGGTTACAAATGGCCAAAGAAGAATAACTTGCATGTTGGAATGAAATAAAAGTGAAGATGAAAGGAAAAGATGGTGGTTATCCTATAATAATGACGGTTTACCTCCTAGTGGACAAGTAAATACCTCTCTTTCGACTGTGTAGAGTGCATATCCTTAGACCCAAAAGTCAAAGAGCAAGAAAAACCACCACGTGTTCCTATTGCTCAAGATTTTTCTCCAAAAGACAACTCTACGGAAGTACCACGTAAGGATAAACTTGACAAACCAATTGGCCAATATATTGATCAAACCTTCCTGCCAGGATTTCACATTTCTAAATGATTATGTTCCCAAATTTTTTGGCATTAACGAGAATGATAAGGACAAAGATTTTCTGATTCTATTAGTATTACTATTTCTTAGTTCAATCACACTTAATAAAGGTTGCCTAGAAAATATCTTCATAATCTCACTTTTAGATATAATTCAGTTACTCAATAAAATACTCTCAGAATTTCTCAAACTTGTTGTTTGATGCAATCAAACCATTAAGTCTGATGCTTAAGACTACGTCTAAAAAGCCTCAAGTTAAATGTCTACATTTTTATCACCAAATCTGTAAGTAGTCAAATTCACTCTAGGCTAACGGAATGATAAATCACAAGGTTGCCATTGCCCCCCTAATTCTAATATTTAACCCACTTTCACCTAGTAAAATTTTGCTTTCAAAAGTCGATATCACCGGAAAACTTGGTCATTCTAAAACTCCCGCTTACAACTCAACACACTCGGATAGACAATGTCTTTCTTATACGCAGGAAATACACGGAGAAAGCCCTTCAAGAGAAATAGGATCCTCCGAATTCACAACAAGGGCAAGAGGATCCTCCGCATTCACAACCGCGCCACCAGCAGGAAACAAAATAATAAACCGAAAAATACATTCATACAAAATACATATATAAGCCCGAACAAACATAAATGCAAATATATGTCAAAAAGCGTAAAATGGAACTCACTTAGGGTCAACTGCTTCAGATTGAACGGTCTTTTCGACCTCATCAACTGCGGCGTCGTTGCTGTTTCCAACCAACTGAGCCCGCCTGAGCCACTGCTGCTGCTGATGGTGTTGGTGTTGTTGTTGTTGTTGCTGCTGATGTTGGTGTTGAAACTGCTGATGATTCTGCGCAAATCCCCGTTGCACGTACTGCTGCTGTGGCTGAGTCCTAGACTGAAAGCTAGGATTCGCATTCACGGCCCCGCGGCCTGCACCGATCCCTGGAGGATATCTCCCTCTACTATTCATCGCACCCTACCGATATCAAAATCGAAGAAAGAAAACCCTAACTAACAAACAACCTATACAGAATAACCTAGAGAGAAATCGAAATTAGGGTTTCTCGCAAGGGCTAAACTCCAGGAAATATTAACAAAATCTAGGGCCAACAAAACGGAATGGGTAACAAGCTAGGGTTTGCGGGTTGATAGGATCGAAAATTGGGAGGTAAAATAGACGAGAACCGAGCACCTGATCTCCGGAAAAAGAAATGAATGCTGTAACTTATGGAAGAAGAAATGAGTGGAGGGAATTGAAGGATTGGATTAGTTTCCTTTTCGGAAGAGAGAAACAGAGAGGAAACGGGGGGGGAGATGGGGGTTTAAGTGAAAATGGAGGAAGGAGAAGGAGTGGTTAATTTCTCATTGGGTTGCAGCGAAGGAAATGACGTATGCACCGTTTTTAGGGCGTCAATGGATTTTCCCCATTTTTAATAAAATAATTTGCTCGATGACCCTCCGCTTTTTAGTTATTCCCGAAATCACCGACTTTATTTTTTCTTTTAAATTATATAAAACTCTTTAACATATGTTTCTTTTAACATATTTATACTTTATTCATTTATTTTTTCTTCTCACCGCTTTTTTTATATTTTAATTTTAATTTTATATTTTGTTTTTAGTTGAGAATATTTTATTCTAAAATTATTTATTTAATTTTTTTTTTGTAATTTTTATTCAGTTTTTATATACATTAATCTTTTATCTTATTTATTTCATAATTTTATTAATTATTA